TTCATCCATCTCATTAGAACTGATTCAAATGTATTCTTTTTAATGGCTGAGTAATATTCCATGGTGTATATGTACCACAGCTTCCTTATCCATTTGTCTGCTGATGGGCATCTAGGTTGCTTCCATGTCCTGGCTATTATAAACAGTGCTGTGATGAATATTGGGGTGCACGTGTCTCTTTCAATTCTGGTTTCCTCAGTGTGTATGCCCAGAAGTGGTATTGTTGGGTCATATGGCAGTTCTATTTCCAGTTTTTTAAGGAATCTCCACACGGTTCTCCATAGTGGCTGTACTAGTTTGCATTCCCACCAACAGTGTAAGAGGGTTCCCTTTTCTCCACACCCTCTCCAGCATTTATTGCTTGTAGACTTTTGGATAGCAGCCATCCTGACTGGCGTGTAATGGTACCTCATTGTGGTTTTGATTTGCATTTCTCTGATAATGAGTGATGTTGAGCATCTTTTCATGTGTTTGTTAGCCATCTGTATGTCTTCTTTGGAGAAATGTCTGTTTAGTTCTTTGGCCCACTTTTTGATTGGGTCTTTTATTTTCTGGAATTGAGCTTCAGGAGTTGCTTGTATATTTTTGAGATTAATCCTTTGTCTGTTGCTCCATTTGCTATTATTTTCTCCCAGTCTGAGGGCTGTCTTTTCACCTTACTTATAGTTTCCTTTGTTGTGCAAAAGCTTTTAAGTTTCATTAGGTCCCATTTGTTTATTTTTTGCTTTTATTTCCAATATTCTGGGAGGTGGGTCATAGAGGATCCTGCTGTGATTTATGTCAGTGTTTGACTTGGATATCAAAGTAAAAGATAGAAGATTCTGCCAGGAAAGTAAGCAGATCATTGTATTTGTTTCTGACTTTCTGACACTTAATGTGAACTTGTACTTCTGTTTCAAGACCCAGGTCAGATAGCACCGTCTCTGTGAAGCCTCTTCTGAGTACCTAAGGGCCAGGACTCTAGTGGTCTTTTATACTTATGCTAATATGAGTACCTATCTGATTGTGTTGCAGTACTACTTATAAATCTTCCTTTGTTTCTGTGGTCAACTCAACTCATTAGAGTCAGGAACCTTCACCTTTCTTACGTTCCTATTGTTAAAACAGCATTTAGCATCTTCCAGTAACCTGATTTTCCTCTTTGGAAAGTTTTGCAACTTTCCCATTATCCCTTGAGTTCTGAGGTATCATGTGTAGGTGAGTCTTTCATTCTGAAGACCTGCACTACCTTTCTTCGACTAGGACAACATATGTATTAGAAAATTTTTCTAATGTATTAAATTAATGTATTAAATTAAATTACATTAATACATTAAATGTAATGTATTAAATTATGTCCACATTTTCATTTTCCCTACACTCTTTTCTACAACTCCTAAAAAAAAAATCAGAGCCCTTGAATTGATTTTCAATAATCCATCCCTATTCTACTCATCTATTTAATTCTTTTTCAATGTTTTGTGAGTTTATCAACATTATCTTTCAGAATGGATCACCAATTTGGTATGTTTGACTTCCTTTGTACTTGTTCACAAAAAAATGTTTTTAGTTCCAAAAATGTTTGCTTATTTTTAGTAGTAGTCTGGTTTTCCTTTCTTCTTCCTTTTTCTTACATATATTTAATATTGAAGCAAATCTTTCTGAGAATGTAATCAGAGTATTTAAGTTCTCTTACCTTCATTGAACTATTTCTTTATCCTCTATAGTCATTTGTTCTGTTTCTTTAGCTTGTGTCTAGACATCCTTTGCATTTAAGAAAATCAGAACTAACTTTTTAAAATTCTCTGATCTTTAGTTGGCATCATACTTGTGAATAAGGACTTGACTGATGAATTAATTTAGCTGTTGCGTTGCACCCTCTCTGAGTAGGTCTGGCTCTATTTCCTCAAAAAGGCTTTCCCTGGAAATGAGCAGGCTGTTTTACTGTCTTTGTATAAATAGGCGAGGATGTGTCAACGTGTAGGAATGATTTAAGGATATGTGGCCAGAAGGTAAGCAGGCTACCTAAATGCCAAAATAACAAGAACGTTACTCTGAGAATGGGGTATTTCAGCATGTTTTTCTCCTGACTTGAGAGGTCTTTCCTTTTACATTCCTTTTTGCGGTTGTACAGCCTGATGTACAGTCAGCTGGGCTTCTGCCGCAAGAGACAAATGTCACATTGAATGGCTAGACCATCTTAGGCAGTTTATTTAACTTCTTTAGGAAGATGTTCTCTGGCTTACGCTAAGGAAGAAATGCCTCTGCTGTCAGTCAATTTGTGGGGAAGTGGAGAAAAGGCCCTAGAGTCCTGTTAGCCGACAGATTTTTAAATACTTATCTTGACGACTGGTTTCAGTTCTCCCCCACCCCCATGCCTCCTGACTGAACTTGGAGCTTTTCCCAACATACCCAACACATCTCCTTTGACTGTGCTGGACTTCCTGTATGCTTTCTCCTAGTCTGGATTATTTATCAATAAGAACTTATTCTCCAGAAATCATTCACAATTTCATTTGTGCTACTGGTATCACTTCTTATTTGCTTTGCAACTATGGATTTATTTGCCCTGTAAAACAATGTTGATGTGTAATGGAACTGGGAAGAAAAGAATAAACCTACTTCATATGTTCTCCATTTTTTAACTAGGGGCTCTGTGAGCTTGGATTCCCAGTTGGAGTTTAGATGTGGTGCTTCATTTGGACTCTGAACTTCCAAAGGTAAGCATGTGTTATCTACTGTACTTTTAAATGTTTATTTAACTGATTTGCCATTCTTTAGAATGTTTCCTATGTCTAATTATTAATCTTTAGAAAGGTCCTAGTTTTATTCAGAAAATTACAAAAGCCAGACTCATAGAAATTATCTTTGGGTCTGTAATAGCGTTCAAAAAACATGAAGGTCAGTTGAATTCAGGCTCAGGGATGAATCTGATACCTGAGTCACAGGTGTCAATACAGCTGTGAATATTAAAGGGATAAAAATGTCCTTGATACAGATCATTTAATAACAGCAAGAAGTAGGCTGCTTAAGTGCTTTTAAATCTAGTTTCAAAAGGTATATCTAAGGTCCAATAAAAATCTGAATAATTGAGAGCATACATATAATATATGCTGTATCCTAATATAATATATAAGTACCATATATTATATATAAATATGTATACATATATATATATTATATTTATATACCAATTTTCCTTTAAAAAAAAAGAAAAAAGTAGCTCTCAGTTTCTTCATCACCTTTGATAAAAATTATCTTCTAAGAATTCTATCTAATTCTCTTCATGGAAAGTCACTGGCCATATGTTCATTTAATCCCACAATTAGAGTCTATCTTCTATTACTTTGCAGTCAGTGAGAATGAGAGGCCCTGACCTTCTCAGATTGCTCTGAAATCATAAGAAGTGCACTTTGAAAAGACAGTAGCTGTAGCTTCTCTTTTGTCAGTTATTTAGTTTCAATACTTTTTAGTAATCCCAAAGACAAATTACATTTTCATTTTCCTTTGTGTTTCTCCATATTGATTCAGGCTAGAACATGGGTTTGACTTTTGTTTCCTGATGAAATTTATTTATTAAATATTTTTTAATAGGACAAGCTGTATATTATTTTTCCCATATTTTTCTTTCTGTTTCAAATATACATTAAGCCTCCTTTCACATACCTCAAAATATGCTTTAAACCTTGCTCAAGTATAAATTCATTGTGAAATTAAATATAATCTCCTGTAACCAATTAGTTAAAAAAAAGTGCTTCATTCATCATTTCTAATTTTTGCAGTGAAAAAGTCAATATGTATCAGATAAAATGATATAAAATTCATTTCACTGAATGAAGTAAAAATGTAAGAGAATGCAGGAATAATACTATACATGAAAGTGTCAAATGTACATGTAAGGGTGAAATGTAGACATAAGGGCTTAGGTGGATTAATGTGGACTGAAATACACTTCTCATCAACATTGAAGTAAGGACATCATAGCTACTGAATAAATGGTTATTGAATTAACAAAACAAATCATTAAGCAATGATGCTATCACATTACAATAGCCTGATGCATTCATTTCAACCATAGGATTGTTCCTTATTACGGAATTTGATTTATATTGCATACTAACATTTATTTACATGGTTTCTTCTTCTAGTAACCTGTGGGATCTCTAGGTGCAAGGACTGTATCTTATTTATTTTTATACCACAGTACCCAGCAGCATACCTGGCACTGTTAGATGCTTAGTGATTTTTCCAATTGAATTGAAATAAAACATTTATATTAGTTAAACAAAATAGCCTGTCCCATTTAAGAAGTTTAGGAAAATCCTAGCTCCGATAGATGGGCTTTTAAAGCTGGTATTTACTGGGAAAACTACTTACCTATATTAGCTTCATGAAATTCTCCATTCTCAGAAAATAACACTTATCACAACGCAAACCAACATCTGATTTATGCTACACATATCACTGTCTGGTGACACTGGTCAAATTATCCATAATTGTCCAAGTTGCATTTTTCTCCTTCTTAAAAATCCTCACTCATTTCCTTACCTGTTCTTACATGGTTTCCACTGCAAATGGGACACTGGCGCTGCATCTCTGAGGACCATCATCCACCCAGTGGAAACTAGGACACCATCCTGTTGTCCTAGGATGTCTCTCTAACCCAGGGTCCTAACACTAACTGCATGTGCTCGACCAGCACCAAAGTGAGTCTCAGCCTCCATTTGAAAGTGGTTTAAGGACTGCTCAAGCAGCTCGCTGCTGTCCCAGTGTATCGTATGCTCAGGAGCCTTGGCAGTAAAATTAGTAGCACTGACACCCCTATTACAACATGTACAAAAATTTATTCTTCCCTGCCTTTTTACATGCTGATCTCTCCAGCAAAAAATCCATATAAAATGCCACAATCAATATTTTATAAATTTTTCATTAAATTAACGAGCAGCTTGATCAAATAATACATTAATCAATGGATTAAGAAAGCTGCCTGTGCTTGGCAGAGCTGTTTACCTGGACAAGACTGCCTTGTTTTCTATTTCTTGTTCTCCAGCACCAGGGCAGCCAACTTCATGCCTTTTCTTTTTCGAGATTTCAGGCCACTCCTTGCCTTCTGTTCTGATGCATTTAGAACTGATAAATCTAAATATACATATAAATATAAATATCCAACATATATAGTGAACTGATAGACTTTCTATAGCCGGCATCGCAGTGGCATTGGAGAAAGCACCAGTTGTCAGTGGAAACCCTTTTATAACTCTATTCGAGGGATTTCTTCTGATTTTTTTATATTAACATCACAAAAGACTTTTGCCTTTGGCATGACCACCAAAACAAGCTGAATAAACTATTGCACTATTTGTGTTTTTTAATCCACCAGAGTGCTGAGAAGGCAAAGAACCCTAGTTGACTCAACTCCAAAATGTTAACAAATCCTACTCTTATTTCTGGTGAGAAACATGCCCGCTCTCACATTTGCTGAGTCGGGTCCGACTCTCTGAGACCCCATAAACAGCAGCATGCCAGGTTTCCCTGCCCCTCACTATCTCCAGGTATCACCTCACTATCTCACTTTTTGTGGAATGGAAAGAGAATAATTATCTTATTTTTTTTAATTTACTTTCATTAGTTGGAGGCTAATTACTTCACAACACTGTAGCGGTTCTTGTCATACACCGACACAAATCAGCCACGGATCCACAAGTATTCCCCATCCCGATCCCCCCTCCCACCTCCCTCCCCACCCGATCCCTCTGGGTCTTCCCAGTGCACCAGGCCCGAGCACTTGTCTCATGCATCCAGCCTGGGCTGGTGATCTGTTTCACCCTAGAAGATATACATGTTTCGATGCTGTTCTCTCGAAACATCCCACCCTCGCCTTCTCCCACAGAGCCCAAAATTCTGTTCTGTACATCTGTGCCTCTTGTTCTCTTTTGCATATAGGGTTATCGTTACCATCTTTCTAAATTTCATATATATGCGTTAGTATACTGTATTGGTCTTTATATTGGTCTAATAATTATCTTATTAAAGGGAATAAGGAGGAAGAAACGAGCCACAACTTGAATGAACTTCTAATGACCAGGGGAAGGCTGGCCTGACAGATAGAATGCCAAGAAGACCCTGTCAGAGAGAGAATCCACACTCACCCAAAGGCCCTTTTCCACACACAGGTCCCCATTTGTAATACACTTACGGCTGACAGCTGGGCTGAGGACCCTCCTGAGAGAGCCTCCAGTGTGGCAGCCACTGAAACTAAGGTAGGCAACTTCAGAAGCCTGGAGGTAAGAGGAATGGAGAGAAAGCCTCCCAGGCAGCTTGCAGTGACCCTCACAAAGCTAAAAGCAGAGGGGGAGGGCAGAGAGAGATTATCTGTAATGCAAAAAGAGCTGGCAGCTGAACTATAAACTGGACACAAAATCTCCATGGTTCAAAAAGATAATGACCGCTATAAAATGCAAAGATATCTCTGGAATCATGCTAGTATCCAGATGTTAGAATTATCAAAGAGGGATTATTGAATAATGACAATAAAAATACCAAGGATCTAGTGGGAAAGATGGACTACATGTGAAGAGATGAGGAATTTTAGTGGAGAAATGTAAAACCCTGCAGGAGAACTATAGAAAAGATAGAAATGAAAAATGTTACCAGAAATGAAGAATTCACAGCTTCACAGTGGGCACAGAGGAAAAGATTGGCTCACTGGAAGTCAGGACAATAGAAAATATCCAAACTGAAATATAAAGAGGAAAAAAAGTCCCTCTCTGCAGATCAATAGCGAACAGCCAGCATTGATGCAAAAATAATTTCGGGAGGAGAGGAAGGAGAAAAAAATGAAAAAAAGAAATATTTAATAAAACATTGGATGAGAACTTTCCAAAATTCAAGACAATCATCCTCTCCATAGATATCAGAAACTCAATAAAACCAAAGCATAACAAATCCAAGGAAAATGCATATATAGGCATATCATAAACAAAATACTGAACAGAAATGATAATGAAAGCATCCTGAGGAAAAAAGATACATTACAACAGAGATATGTTATAAAAGATTCATTGCAAAAAAGATACCCAAAAAAAAACCAAAAAACAACAATATGTGTGATGTCTGACTTTTCAACAGAAAAGAAGGCAGAAAAAGGGGGAACTGCACCTTTAAAATGCTGAAAGAAAAAAACAGAAAAAAAAAATTAACCTAGAATTTTATATTCAGCAAAATGTTATCTATAATAATAGAAAAGAAATACATTTTCCTATTGACAAAAATCAGATATAGCTTGTTTCTAGACTATTTGTACTATTTAAAAAAGCTTTAAAAAGGCAGAAATAAAATAATAGATTAAACCCTGGATCTACAGGAAAGAATGATGAACATCAGAAACATAAAATATCTTTTATAAACTATGCTGCTACTGCTGCTAAGTCGCTTCAGTCGTGTCCGACTCTGTGCGACTCCATAGACAGCAGCCCACCAGGCTCCCTCATCCCTGGAATTCTCCAGGCAAGAACACTGGAGTGGGTTGCCATTCCTTCTCCATTTATAAACTATACATATCCTTATATCTTTTCAAACTTTTCACTGTTAAAAATAATAATGCATTTGGTGTTTGTAACATGTGTGAAGTAAAATATAATGCCATTAGAGCACAAAAACTGGGACCATAATGTCTAAGATTCATGAAAAGTATCCAATTATTTAAAAGTGGACTATGATAAATTAAAGATACTTATTTATATTATAGAGTATTTACTAAGCATATACACAAACACACACACAGAGGTATATACACACACATACACACACAAAAAAGGGTAAAATTAAATATGAAAAATACTTGAATCACCCAAAAAAGGTAAAAAATGAAGAATTTTTTCTTCATTTTATATTTATCTTTTTTATTTTTCTTTATTCTATATTTATCCATATTAAATAATGGATACATATAAAACAAATAGTAGTTTCATAAATTTAAAAAATGAAAAAGCAAAGTTCAGTAAATGCTGTTTATAAGAAACACATGATAATCATAAAGACAGAGTAAATACTTGAAATTAAAGATGTTGAAAAAGCTGTACATGCAAACACTAAACATAATAAATCTGATATAGCTTTATTGTAAACCAGGGGTATCCAATTGTCAAACTCAAAGAAAACAAGACTCCCACTTCTGACCAGCATAGAGTAAGAGAGGTTGAATTTATCCTCTTAATTGAATCAACCCAAAACAGGAAACCACCATTCTGAACACGCTAGGCACGAGGTAGTGAAGAATACTCACTCCCGAGGGAAAGGACAGGAACCAGTTGAGGCCAAGGTGCTCCTCAGAGGGCCTTGGGGGAGTTTCCAGAATGCAGCCCAAAGTGGGGGGATGTCTTTAGAACCATCCGGATTCCCCGAGTTGAGGAGACCAAGGAGGCTACAATTCACAGGATCGACTACAGGAACGTAGGAACTGTAGGAATCAGAGTGATGAAGGGAATCAAACATCTACCACAACTTGGTTTTTCCCTCATTCAGCAAATTGTGTTGATGGTTTTTCCTCCATAACAATATTGATCAACTCTGGGGTATTTATTGTTCTTCCTTGAAATTTCAGTAAGGCTCAAACTTGGTTGGTTGAAGATGGTTGGTGGTGGTGGTGGTTTAGTCACTAAGTCATGTCCGACTCTTGCGACCCCATGGACTGTATAGCCTGCCAGGCTCCTCTATGCGTGGGATTCTCCAGGCAAGACTACTGGAGTGGGTTGCCAACTTGGTTGGTTGAAGATGGCTGGTGTGGGGTAATTTAGCATAAATCACTTTCACTTTTCGATAGTAAATGACCAAAAGTGCATTAGTCATCACAAATACTTGTTAGCTCATCTTCAAGTATTAGACCTTTCCTGTATTATAGCAGAGGCCCTTCACTAGACTATAACCTCAGCCACTGAGCAAGCAAAGTTCTAGTATTAACAGTTCCTCTGTTTCACTCTTGAGCTGACTGAGTTTTAGCAAGGGATGAAATAATTTTTACTGACAAAAATGTAGATGGTTTACATAGCCCTTTACACTTGGGCTGGAAACTTTAAAAGGAATATGATAAACACCCTCCCACACTCTTTTCAGGCTACTTGTAGATTAAACAATAGCACATCTGTTTGTGAGTCAAAACACGTACTCAGTGGCTTCTGCATTTTATCTTTATGTCTTCTACTCTTATAAATAATACACACATGACTATAGCTACACTGCATTTTAGTCAAGATTATTACATCCATACCTTTATATCATTTTATAACACAAACACTATATTGTTTATATAATCTCCTGAGATCATATGGGAAGAACATTCACTGTAAATTATATGAAAAATTATGCCTCTTACAAAAAAATAATTACTGGTAGAAATCATTAATTCAATTATGCAAAGTGCACTTTTATTTAATGGACTTTTTTATCATCCAATGGAGAGAAACGACAATCGTGTCCACCCTCCTCAAACATATTCCATTAGTTTCAAATGCATTGTTAAGGAAACTGTGATTCAGGATATTAGGAAAGATACCAAAACTAGAAGACAAGATGAAGTGCAACAGATGACAGAATTCATCAAGTGCAGGCATGAGTTTAGCCACAGGGATACAGAGCCAGCACGAGAGGCTTAGGGAGCTGAATCTGGAACAGAGTATTCAAGAGACCACTGGGTCATGCTGGGGCCTGAGCTACAAGATGAGGTTTCAGTGGAAGCTTTAATACCTTCCAATGGGAGAGTAAAGATTAGTCTTGTTTTCTCCAAATTGTATTTCTCTGACATTTGTACCAACTCTAGAAACAGGCTTAAATACAAAGCCTACAGTGTTGAAAGGGGTTCTGGTTTGCAGGCTCCAATCACATCTCCAAGAAATAAGTGTGCACCTTGGTCCTTGGAGGGGCTTCTCTGGTGGCTCAGACTGTAAAAATCTGCCTGTAATGTAGGAGACCCAGGTTTGGTCCTGGGTTGAGAAGATCCCCTGGAGAAGGGAACAACTACTCACTCCTATATTCTTGCCTGGAGAAATCCCTGGACAGAGGAGCCTGGCAGGTCACAGTCCATGGGGTTGTAAAGAGTCAGACATGACTGAGTGACTAACACTTTCACTTCCACTTTGGTCTTTTGAAGCTTTGAAACAAGACACACTCTTCTCCTTCTGCAATAGCCTCTTTGGCCATAGTTTTTCTCAAAAGAAACTATTCCATCCATAGGAAAAGCTGCTGATGTGGGCAATGTCTCTCTTGAAAAGGATTACAGCAAATCACTTCCTCAGCAGTCAGCAAGCACTGCACATAATTTGATGATATATAGAAAGGATAACTGGCCTTGAGCTTGTGAATCGTTCTGCTTTTCCAGAAAAGAAAAAAAAAAACAAAAACTTTCATCAGCTCTTTCATCTCTACCTTCTCAAAGTCTTTTCCTCACCTGAGATAGTATTAGCTCAATAGGCATTCACACTGATGCTGATTTTTCTAACCATGGTGAGTATTTTTAAATGAGTGGTTTTTATTTTACCTATAACCATTTATTATAACCATTCCTTAACTTTTGCTGAGATAAGAATGCATTAACTGCCTAAATAACATGCATCACATGTTCAATGAATTTTTTGGTGTGTCCTTTTGAATTTTTCCTGTACTCAAATAACTCTGCACTTCCAATGAGCTCAGTTTTGTTTCCATCATCATCATAATGCCTCTTCCTAAAACTCTCTTTCCTTTTGTATCTGTTGACCATAACAACTAATAATGACCAATATCATCACAACATGAAAGGCATCAAGCGTTGTAAACACTCACTGAAAGTGATTTTTAATCAGTCAAATTCAATTTTTTTAATTTAACAAATTATTTAATTTTTAATCTTAGTGAACACTTAGCATAAATGTATACATTTTAGTTAACTTACTTATTGGCATTTATATTATGTGAAATGTATTTATAAGGATAGACTGAGAAGAAAAATACTAAATTTATGAAGCTATATCAGTAATAAATTGCTGTAGAATTACCTTCACATTTTTAGTATAGTATTACCTTAGTATAGAATTACCTTCACATTTTTAGCACACTTATTTCTTGGAGATGTAATTGGAGCCTACAAAAAATCTCCTCCCTGATTTTTTCAAGATATTTTCTTGAAAATGATTCCATTCAATGTCTTAGAATAAAATAAATCTTCAAAATACCTTTTTTTAAAAGATAGAACCCAATAAATTCTCTTTCTAGGGGATGAAGAAGACCTGGAGACTTTTAAAACCAGGTTTGTATAAAAGCAAAGACCATTTTTAGTGCTATCTTATTCATTATTCATACTTAAACAATAATAGTGTGAAAATGATAGTAGCAATTTGTATAAAAGCAAAGACCATTTTCCATGAGCTATTGTCTCCGTGGAGAGTCCTTCTTCTTCCGTATTATTCCTAACCTTCAATTCCATAGAAGTACAATTCCATACAGAAGTCACCTCTTTCAGTCAAACTCTCCCTGATTGCATCATATGATAAATGTTTGTATCTCCCTCAAATTCATATGTTAGAATTCTCATGCCCAAGGTGATGGTGTGAATAGGTGAGGCTTTTGGGGGTAATTAGGTCATGAAGATGCAGCCCTTGTGAATGGGATTAGTGCCTTTATAGAAAGTGACCCAGAGAGATCCCTTGCCCCTTAACCTTGTGAGGACACAGGAATAAATCAGTGATCTGCAACCAGAAAGAGGGTCTTCATGAGAACCCTACCATACTGACACCTTGATCTTGGCTTTCCAGCCTCCAAAATAAGTTTCTCTTGTTCTGTTGTATATTACCCAGTTTTTGATATTTTGTTATAGTGGCTCGAATTGACTAAGACAGTAATCTAGCCAAAATGTGGGACTAAAATGCTCATACTTCCCTGCTCATGCCAGTTGTCATGGTAGGCAGACTTGAGTCACTATTCTTTTGGATCATAAGTTGAAAGAGGCTATCTATACATAAAACAAAAACTGTAGGTAATTTGTTTTCTCTTTGTCCCATCCACCAGCCTGAAAGCTCTGTGAGGGCAAAATCTAAGGTCAATATCTCCAGTACGTTCCATCACAAGTGTTCCATAATAATAAACCTTAGTGTGTATTTTCTGAATTCAAATTTTAAAAAAACCCACAAATTTATAAAAATCTCTGATTTCAGAGGAAAGACAAAATTTCTTTAGAGTCACCTTTATCCACCTGTGATCGAACAGCAGAATTATCTGGGAAGATTTGTTTGAGACCACATATCCTATCTTCTCCACACTGAATATGCTCTCATTTAAGAAAGTTTCCAGAAAATAGTGCTGTGTGTTTCTGATTTATCATCATAGAAATAAAATAATTTTTGATATTTTGATTACTTTTAATATGCTACAATCACAAGGCAATGAAGAAATAAATACGTATATGCAGGCCTTGTGAGCATGTTAAGTGAGTGCAATTGTGCAGTAGTTTGAACATTTTTTGGCATTACCATTCCTTGGGACTGGAATGAAAGCTGAACATTTCCAGTCCTATGACCACTGCTAAGCTTTCCAAATTTGCTGGCATATTGAGTGTAGCACTTTCACAGCATCATCTTTTAGGATTTGAAATAGCTCAGTTGGAATTCCATCACCTCCACTAGTTTGTTCATTGTGATGTTTCCTAAGGCCCCCTTGACTTCACACTCCAGAACGTCTGGCTCTAGGTAGTGATCAACACCATCATGGTTATCCAGGCCATTAAGATATTCTTTGTATAGTTCTTCTGTGTATTCTTGCCACCTCTTAACATGCTCTGCTCCTACTTCTGTTAGGTCTATAACCTTTCTGTCCTTTATTGTGCCCATCAGTGCATGAAGTGTTCCCTTGGTATCTCTGGTTTTCTTGAGGAGATCTCTAGTCTTTCCCATTCTATTGTTTTCTTCTATTGCTTTACATTGATCACTGAGGAAGGCATTCTTATCTCCCCTTGCTGTTCTTTGGAACTCAGCATTCAGATGAGTGTTTCCTTTTCTCCTTTGCCTTTTGCTTCTCTTCTTTTCTTAGCTATTTGTAAGAGCTCCTCAGACAACTATTTTGCCTTTTAAGTAAGGTCATATTCAAAATCCTCCAAGGTAGGTTTCAACAGGACATAAACTGAGAACTTCCATATGTTCAAGCTGAATTTAGAAAAGGCAGAGGAACCTGAATTCAAATTGTCAACATCCCCTGGATCATAGAAAAAGCAAGAGAATTCCAAAAAAACATCTACTTTTGCTTCATTGACTATGCTAAAGCCTTTGACAGTGTGGATCACAACAAACTGGAAAATCCTTAAAGAGATGGGGATAGCAGACCACCTTACCTGCCTCCTGAGAAATCTGTATGCAAGTCAAGAAGCAACAGTTAGAAAAGGACATGGAAAAATGAACTGGTTCCAAATTGGGAAAGGAGTACGTCAAGGCTGTATAT